CTGTTTTTAATTACTGTGACTGCTTTCACTGAATGGCATCCTTCTGTGTACACATTATGTGCCCACTTGCTTTTTTTGAACTGGACAAGGCTGGTTCCTTTAGTGCCTTCTAGAAACTCCTAAGTCTTGCGCAGAATATGCTTTGAGTTCAAAATGGAATTTCCTAGGCTTTTTTTTTCCCCATTCCTTTTGTTTCCTTTTTGTCACTATCTTTCTGTATTTTTGACATACAGGATTCTCAGTGACTTTAACAGGAGTCTGGCATGAGCAGGGGCAATAGGATAGCAGCCAAAATAGCTTTCTAATATCTTTTATTGTAGACTGTAGCTGTTGCATCTCCATTGGATGTTGTTATGTGAGCTCCTGAAATGACCGGCCATTACCTCTCGCTTCAACTATTTCATAGTGGGTTTTTCCCTCTCAGAAATCTGGTTTTTCCCATGTATGTTGAGCTTCCTGTCCTGCTACTAATACAGTTTTGCTTAACAGTATTTACCTCATTCTTGCAATCTAGAAATTTGAAAATTTAGGCTTAGAAAAAAAATCTGTTTTCCAAACATCTCCAATAATCATCATTATCAGATGGGACCTACAGTAGTCTGTCTGCTACGTTATACAAAGGTGTGCACGCACATGCATGTACACACACACACATGTGAAAAAACAGCCTCTTTGGTAAAGTGGCAGCAGGACCTGTGATAATCAGTAAGAGCAGTTCCATCCAGTATATAATGAAAAGGTAAAAAAACCCCAGAGCCCTCAGTCCCATACAGATAATGTTTGTTTCATAGGGGTTCACTATTACTGGTTTAGTGTGACGTAGCAGTTCTGAGCAGCTCATGCTAATTTATTTGTGATACAAAAGAATATAACAATTCAATTCATCTGAAGAATGTATTTTATTTCCGAAAATAAACACACTCATTTTTAAAAGTAAACTTTAAAATTATTTCACAAGGGAATATGTTAGATTAAATAGCATCTTTCTATTCTGGCTCACTAATCAGTGTCATAGAGAGGAAGGTTTTCCTCTTTAGCTACAAAAATGCAAACTCTCAACAATTCTTATTTTAGACCTTGAAACTGTGATGAGATATTCCAGGTTGCACAATGGAACTGAAATAAATCCCCTAGTTCATTAGTTTTGTAAAATACTGTGTGATTAGTATGACCTCTTGTGTTAAACAGGGGAATATTCATTTGTTTGTTCACATAATGAAACAATCAAGCAAGTAGATAAAATATCCAAAAGCTAGTAACAATACTGTCCTTCCCATTTTTACAAATAAACAGGATAGCAGCAGTAGATGTAGTAAAATTGCGACTTGTAACTTTGATATACAAATTAGAAAAATAAATGCACTCATTTCCCCATATAGAACACAGCTATCATATATCTTAGTCTACCAAGACTTTAATCTGCTTCACAATTCTAATAAAACCTTGTGTGACCAGACTAGATGAAATTACAGGACAGAGCCTTGGTGACTTATAAATAAAACATGTAGATTTACCAGTTTCTTAAAAAGCCTTCATGGTAAACCAGGTCCCGAGGACTTCATCTTCTGTTAAGGAGAGCACTTAAAAAAAGTATCTTTAAGCCAACATTGAAGACATGTCACGGACAGAAAAGCAAAGATGAAACCTGGGCCTATCTAAATCTTTAACTAGTTCACAAAACATACATTCTGACAGTACATTTGTGCAGGACTTTTATTTACAGAGTGACAAAAGCCCTGGTTCCCTAAGATTTTAATTTTCTAAGATTTGTACAATTCACGTGTGTGTTTGAGAACACAGGCAAAACAGAACCAGTGAGATGGAATTATAGCACCATGTTTTTTCAAGCAAACAATGGAAGATCTGAAGCTGTGTCAAACAAACTGTTCATTCTTAAAAATAAGAGCATCTTTTTGTTTGTTTTTAGCATTCAGGAGAACTGAGTGCAATTGAGAGCATCCAAATAAACTTTAGTATAATTTAAAAACACCAAGTGATGTGTTTGGAAAGTGCTTTATCATTCATGCAAGAATATACCCGTGGATTTTTATTCAAAATTTGGTTATTAAACCAACTGTGAATTATCACAAGGCGTTATGATGCCGTTATCACACACACTCCTATTTATGGGTGTATTTTCCAAAATAGCCTATGTTATGTAAACATACTCAGAGATTTTTAATTTTTGGTCACTCTCCGAGTAATCTACCTGTATTGTACAACCATGACATTTACAACATTAGTGAGGGTTGTTTGATTGTGTGTGTGCAATATGTGCTTGCTTTAAAAGGTACACCTTGGTTAGGAATTAAGTAATTGAAATTTTATAGCAGAGTGTATTTAACCCCTTTGCTATTGATGGTGCTTCACTCAAATTTCTAAAATGCAAGCCATTCAGGGGTATAGGGTTTCAAAGAAACGTTGTGTGGGGCACAGAAATCATATGGAGGTAGGCTTTTACCCTATAAGCGCTTAGTGAATTTTGACGTTGGAGAGATGTTAAAGATGTAAGGAAACCTTCCACGCTATTAAATTTTGCAGCTGATTTTTCAAGCCACAAAGACAGTGCTGCCTGACTGGAGAGGAAAAAAGAAAGAAAAGAAGCCCCTCTTACAATCTCACCTAGGCGACAAGAATGGCACAGCTGTAACAAGGTAAATCACTTACCGTTTTCATGGTTCTTCCCTTGAAAGAATCTTCCCTTAAATACATGCAGAAAAGAGACTTTACCTAGCCCAGACACCGCTCTGCCTACGGGAGCTGCGGGAATGAATTACTCAGTGAGAGTTTGGGGGGGAAAGGAAGGGGAAGAGGCAAAATGGTAGCAGACGACGAGACGAACTCAAGGAATGCACTGGCGCTGCACGCCAGGAAACCGGAGCCGGAGGGGAAGGCAGCTTCCCGGTGACACCGATCCCGTTTCACGGTAAAGCTCCCGGGGTCTCCGGCCCCCAAGCCGCCCCCCGCGGTTGTCCCGGCGGCGGCCTCTCGGCCC